CCCCTTTAATCCAATCATCCTCCAAGAAGTTTGTGTATACATGACGAGTCAATTCTCATAACACTAGCCCTCAGATGAATTCTTTGATGGCACATTCCTGTCTTCCGGTAACCTCAACCAAATTTTTTCATAAAATAAGTCACATAATCTGGATCCAACCTAAAAAAGACAAACCAAAATGTCTAAAATAAGTCTGCTTAATACTAAATAACCTTAGTATAAAGCAGGGGTTTTGAACCTTTTTAAGCTGATGAGCACCTATCTGCTTTCTTGATAATTATGGGGAACATTTCATAGTGTGTGTGTGTGTGTGTGTGTGTGAGTGTGTGTGTGGGTGTGTGTGTGAGTGTGTGTGAGTGTGTGTGAGTGTGTGTGTGTGTGTGTGTGTGTGTGTGTGTGTGTGTGTGTGTGTGTGTGTGTGTGTGTGTGTGTGTGTGTGTGTGTGTGTGTGTGTGTGTGTTTGTGTGTGTGTAATCTCTCTCTCTCTCTCTCTCTCTCTCTCTCTCTCTCTCTCTCTCTCTCTCTCTCTCTCTCTCTCTCTCTCTCTCTCTCTCTCTCTCTCTGTCTCTAACAAAAGGTTAGAAACCCCTACTCCTGGGGAGCATAGGCGAATTCACAAATACTCTATAACCATGACTTCAGATACCTTAAATAGCTGCTAATCATGACACATTGCCATATTTTGTTTTATCAAAAATGAAAAAAAATATACAGTGAGTAATGTCAAGTACTGATGATAGTAACATCAGTATCATTTTAATGAACTAAGATCATACTCTTTTCTATGGCAAAATTAGTAAGCAAAACTACATTTGTTTTCATGGTAAAAAATACACTACTATGACTAATACAGATAACACAAGACAATGATGCATTCAAACTTACCAAGTTGAATATTTCTGATAATGAGAGATGGCTGCTTTCCTCTTTTGACCAGCCTCTCAAAATATACTCCAGAGAAGCCACTGGAGATGCATGATATAAAAACTGCAAAGATTCCTAAAAGCCATGAGACTTCTGTGTTTGGGTGTGCTTCATTGTGTATATCAGGAGGGGGGAAGCCAGCCCCATCCTCTGAGCCTCCTAAGATCATGGGGTCTCCACCCTCAACAACCTCAACTTCTGGTAATATTTTGCTGGGACTTGTGCTGCCACTTCCACTATCAACCTGTTCACCAATATAAGGTTTGCTTAAAATCAAGTATCTTTACATTAGTTACTAACTAAAGTAGTACTTAGTCTGAAGAGACAATATTGGTTACTACAAACAGTAGGCTGCATATTCAACCATAAGCTTGCTTAGTTAACCTATCTTAAGATAAATAAGAAGACAAAATTCATAATAACAAAAAGTAATTCTTTTTTTTTTTCTTTTTTTTTTACAAGAAACAAAATACAACAGTGTAACACTTCATTTAGGATTTCTCTTCAGAGGCAGGGAATACTGTTGACATGCATCACATAATGAGAGATGCATGCAAAAACACATGTACACATGCATGTACATCTACACGCACACATACATGGAAGTGAACACATGTGCATACATGCACTCACACACACATACGCACAAACACACACACACATATTAAAAAAATAGTAATAACAATGAATAATAAATAAGATAACAATAATGATAATGATAATGTAACACATCTAAGAAAATTTGTATTTTACAATACTAGAATTTAAGAAAACTGTAGATATCCTATATTCTTAGGTATAAGTGAAAAAGGAGTAAAACTTGTAAGGAAATTAAAATCTGTAAAATAAATAGAAGATTATTCCCCTGGATTCAAAAGGGAAACACTATAGAGAACAATTGTAATACACCAAGTTAAAACTATATATCAAACAGAAACCAAGAAGGCATAGTCTATAGATAGTAATGTTACATGAGTGGTCTGCATAATAAGAACTACTTCCTACCATCCCTGTAGGACACCAACTCAAAACAACAGAACATTTGAGACATGTAACCACCCCTGCTCAGATTAGATTTACAAAATGCCTGAAAGGTTAATTAGCATAATCAGGAATATCACTCACCTGTACAAGAGAAACTCCAAGCATAAGGAAACATAAGGAGAGCCAATGTATTGGACTGAGTTGTTTGCCTAGAATCACCCAGGAGAATATGGCTGTTGTTAAAATCTTTAGCTGGTATGTTACCTGTAAAAACAATAAAAAAAACATGATATAAAAGCAATACACATTATATTGTTATATAATTATATTTTCTTTAGGATAAATAAAAGCATGAAAATAATGAAAAACACTGACAGATACATATTGTTTTATAACCTGTCAGAAAAGTTTTATTCTGAAGAACCCCATTCGCCCTGGGTTTATGTACTGTGCACTAATTTTTTTGTGAATTCTATTACAGACAGATGGCTCTGCAAGAGCTCAACCACTATGGAGTCAATTAGAGTAAGCAAGTGAGACAGGAAGGACAAATAACTGACTCCTTGGTAAGTAAGCACTTGTAGAGCCATCT